ACTCAGGTTCTCTGCCCTTCACTCCTTGTGGAATGAAGTGGCCACTTGGCTAGAAACACTATCATTGAGGTTCTTTTCTCCTGGCCTCCAGCTGGGCTCAGCTGTCCAAAGGCGGGAGTTGATGGGCAATGCAAGTGCCCTCTGCTCCTGTGAGAGAGACACCCTAGCATTATGGAGATGGTAGCATATTCCCACAGACTCCCCAGATGGAAGCAGGGTGTGTTAGTTACTGTTACTGTGATAAAATACCCAGCAGAAACAACATGAGGGAAGGTTCATTTTGGATCAGAGTTTCAGTGATTCACGCCATCGTGGTGATGACAGCAGGGTGGAGAAGTAGTTCTGTCTGCAGCAGCAGGAGCTTGAGGCAGTGACTTGTTCATCAGGAGGCAAAAGCCACCGGCGGAACCTTCAAAGACCAGCCCTTCCTAACCTGTTTCCAATAGACAGATCCCACCTTCTAAAGGCTTTGCGGCCTTCAAAGTACAATCACAAGCTGGGGTCTGAGTTCAAAACATGAGCCAGTGAAGGACACTCCAGATTCCAACCACAGGTTGTTAGGGAACATCCAGCATCCCTCCTCACCCAATCAATACAGCCTTCCTCTGTCACCTGCTATGGCTCTAAGTGGGACAGATGTCTACCTTCTCCCCATTACCTGCTGTTTCTTATCTGGAAAAGCAAGGTCCTGCGAATCCCCCATGCTGGCAATGGAGTCTCACACCCACATCATGCCTGGGACCTGTATGGGCCCCTTGGCACTCTGTAGGTCTTTTGCCTGGGCACCACAGCTATGACAAGGCAAAGAGATCCACATGAAAAACAGCTACTTTGTATGCCCACCGAGCTTCTATTGTGCACACTCACATGTGCACATGTACTGAGCCCTGGAGGCTACTATATGTAGCCATACACATGCACATGGATGCACACATGAGTGTAGCCCACAATAAAGCCATGCATGTACATACATATACATACTATAGCCATACTTACTGCCATGCTTTGAAATGAAGGATCCCAGGGACTTTTGTGTTAAAGGTGTGGTTGCCTGCTGAAGGGCTGCTAGAAGGTAAATGAATTCTGGACTGGGAACTGATCAGTAGGCTTATCGGATTCATACTATGATGATATTGTTAGGAGGCAGAGCCTCCTTGGGGGAACTGGCTGGAAGATGATGGGGGCATGCCCTGGAAAGATATCCTCCTGTGCCAGCTTCACCTCAGGCCCAAAGCTGTGGAACCATCCAACCAAGAGCTGAATGCTCTGAAACCATGAGCCAAAATAAATCCTTCCTCCTTTAACTTAGCTCAGGTATGCTGTCATTACAACAAAACCACATACACATATGCTAGAAACTACTTATTCATAGTCACACATGAGCACAAGTATGCACTCACTTGTGTGGCACATACACATATTATACTCACATACACACATACAGGCACACACAAACATACAGAATGCACCACATAGACACACACACACACACACACACACACACACAATCTAAGCCACACCTGGTGAGCCACACTATCTTAGAGACCCTAACTTCCCCTATACATAGCAGTGACTGTTCCTGTGGAGAGCAAACTATGTAATTAGTCTGACTTGCAGCTCTGTGAAGTTGCAAGCTGCAATTACGTTCCCATTTTATAGACAGGGATGCTGACACTCCAGGAAGTGAGCTGTTGGATGTCACCAGGAAAGGAAATCAATGGTGGGCCAGGACACTGGGCCTGGGTGAGGGGGACAGAGGAACGATTAAGGTCTGGCTGAGGGCATCGTCTTCATATGAGGAGGCCAGCTGACTTGAGAGTGGAGACAGGGAGTTGGGCAGAACCACACTGACAGCTGGGAAAGAGTGCTTCCAGTAGGGCCCCGAGAAGCAAAAGGCATGGGGTCAGACAGTGCAGGGAGCAGAATAGACATGCTTTGACCTGACTGGGAGAAATAACTTAGGCTCCTTCAAGGTCATAAAGAAGCCATTACAGGCCCCCAGCCCCAGCTCCCTCTCCACAAGGCTGTCCTCTTTCAGGGCACAGTATCCAGTGCCCATGTTTACAGCCAGACTTGTACATCTCTGACTGCTGCTTTGCTCTAGAGGTCATACCATGCCTCAGGTGTGAGAAGCATCCTGGAGACTCACAGGGCTGGCGAGGGGCCAGTCAGGGGCTGAGTACTTTCTGGCCACTGTAACAAACACCCTAGGCTGGGCAATTCCGGAACCACAGACATCAATTGCTCATAGTGCTGGAATCTGGAAGTCCAAGGTCAAGGCACGGTAGAGTCTGTGTCTGGTGAGGGCTGCTTCCTGATTTGTAGATGACCCTTTCTGCTGTGTCCTCACATGAAAGAAAGGGTTGGGAGTTCACTAGAGTCCCTTTCATAAGGTCACTAATCCCATTTTTGAGGTATCACTCTTATGACCTAACCACCATCCTGTAAGACAGAGAGGATTTCGACATGAGAATTCCAGAGACACATTTGGTCCATTGCAGGAAAAAGGGGAAGATGGGAGCAGGAGGAAGGGCTGAGAGGGGAATAGGGTTTGTGGCTGTTTTGACCTCAAGGGCCCAGGTACACAGCTGAAGGTCTCTCACAGGAGCCCCTACAATGAAACAGAGGTATCAAGATGGTGGTGGGAGGATTTGCTGGGAGGTTATTAGGTTCTAAATTGAAGCTGAAGATGTTGCCACCAAGACTTTGAAGATGGAAGGCTCACTGAAACCGCCCCCCCTCCCCGCAAGGTTTTGACATGAGCAACTGAAGGTTGGCATTGCCTGCTCTACCATGAGGAACCCAGGGGAGGGGCAGAGTTGTAAGAAGGCCAGATAGGTCCCAGCCTTGGCTGTCTTGTTAGGAACACACCCAGGGATGGCAGGGTCAAAAGTTGGGCTTTTCCAGTGTGTCCTGCCCCATTTTGGCTGGGGTAGCTTCCCTTTAGTGCCCAGGAGCCCTGAGGCCACTTTCCATGCTAGTGGCCGTGGTCAGCAAGCCTTGGTTCCTGCCTGCTGTGCCTCAGTCACAGTGATGTCACTGGCTCACTTCCTGCAGAAGGCACTGGGTACCTCATGTATCCCACCCTTCATGTTGGTCTCCCAAGGTGACCTTAATATGCCATTAAGTATATGTGTCTGAGTTCCACCCCATAGTCCAGCAGAAAGTTCTGAAGGTCATATGTCAGCAAAATGTCAGAATCCATGACCAAATGACCAGAGCAAAATGTCAGAATCTACGAAGATCAAGAGGAAAGAGTCAAAGGGCACAGCAACCAAGAAGACAGAGCCATGGGACTGTGGGAGAGCTCACCCTGCTGCCTCTTTAACATGAGGAGGGGTAGTAGCCCACCATCCCCAAAGCGAGTGCTCGGTTCCTCCAGCAGAGTAGACCTCAGGACTGTGTCTATTTTGACCTGTCCAGGTGAAAGGACCTTGTTTCACCAAACTTCAACCTCTGTCTGGGCACATTAATGGCTAGGCAGAGCAATGGTGCAAAACCAGCAAAAGTCAAACCTGGGGTGCCATGCGGTGAGTGGCATTAGGAGAGAAACCCACAGCTGGTGTCACATACCACAGCAGAAAGTTGAACATTTCTGACCTACCTTAGCCACTTCGGTTCCACAGGGGACAGCAGAATTAGGTCAGGTCAAAATATATTCTATGCCTGTATTTGAAAATGTCCTCATAAAACCCAGTATAATGACTATATGCCAACTTAAACAAAAAATAAAAAGAAATGAAAAAATTCACAGGTATTGTTACCCTTTACATATAAAATTTGAAGGAACACACACACACACACACACACACACACACACACACACACACACACCCCATGTAATGGAATAGTATTTAGCCATTAAAAGGATGTCCTCATAAAACCCAGTATAATGACTATATGCCAACTTAAACAAAAAATAAAAAGAAATGAAAAAATTCACAGGTATTGTTACCCTTTACATATAAAATTTGAAGGAACACACACACACACACACACACACACACACACACACACACACACACCCCATGTAATGGAATAGTATTTAGCCATTAAAAGGAATGAAACATTGGTGTGTGTTACAGACACAGATGAACCTTGAAACCCTCATACTCAATGAAAGAAGCCAGCCGCAAAGGGCCACAGAGTGCATAATTACACACAGAGGAAATGTCCAGAATGGGAAAACCACAGGGATAGAAAGCAGATCAGTGGTTGCCAGGGGCACTGCTTAATGGGTTTGGGGTTTCCTTCTGAAAGATGAAAATATTTTGGAACCAGAAGTGGTAGTGGCTCAGCTCTGTGGGTGTGCTAAGTGTGCTGGAATTGTATGTTTTAAAGTGATTTAAATTATATGATTTTCCACTCGTTTTTTTTAAGGCATGAAAGCTTTAATTTGGGGTGTGTGTTCTCTCCTGTCCTCTGTCTCTCCTCTATCACTCTATCTCTCCTTTTTGTTTCCTTTCCTATCTCTCTATCTTCGCTTCTGTGTCTCTGTCTCTGTCCTGGGGTCCCAGGCACCATGAAAAGAAGCCCCTGTCCCATTCAGAGCCCTCCATGATGTCTGATGCTGAGCCAGCCTCACGTGGACCTGAGTGTAGATAGAACCCACTGGGGCGCATAGCCAGCCCAGCCCCTGACCCGCAGCAGCCAGAGGTCAATGCACGGTAATTATTGCTTTAACCACTACATTTTAGGATAATTTGCTCTTTGCCAGCAGCTAACCAACACCCAGCCCTCCTGCCGTCCTCTCGTTTCCAAACTAGTTCACAGGCCCCAGCACCCTGCTGGCTCACACACCACCTCCACCACCCTCTCCTACCCTCTCCTACCCTGTGGGTTTCTGGCTCTCTTTCGTTTTTTCTCTAAGGCCCTCCTGAAGCCCTGGCTGGGAGGAGGAAGGAGGAGGTTCAGACAGGTGCCCTGTATCTGTGCCTGCACAGTAGTCCAAAGGGCCTCATGATGCCCACATAGAGATGCACCCTGACTGTCCACAGTACCTTTGTCCAGCACGGGGCCAAAGATGGCAAGGCTGTTGCTGACAGTGGTACAGTTCCAGCGCCGGCCACGGAACTGATGTTGGCACTCCTGAATGCCGGCCTTGACGCCCTCAGCCACACTGGGCATGATCTCGACGTAGTTCCTGCAGAAGCGCAGCTGCTTGGGCACCAGGCCCGGAATACTGGCACAGAGGATGGGCTGGGTGCTCAGGGAGGAGTACTGGGGCCCCACAGCCAAGGACCTGGTGGGAAGACAAGGACATTAACATGGCCATTCCTGGAATCAGACAGACCCTTTGCTGTGCAGCCTGATGCTGTTCCTGCCCTGAAGGAAACCTCCAGCCAGGACACTACTGACCATGTACCCAGGACCCAAGCCACCACGATTTGTTGTGCGTAATAACCAGACCAGTGTCCCTGCTCTGAGCAGGTTCAGAGACTTCACACTGGGGCTGAGGCTCCTGAAGGCACTGGAGGATACATAGACTAGACCAAGATGGCAGATGCCTGGGTCCCTTGTATAAAGTAATATTGTATTTGCCTATGACCTGCACACCTTCCTGTTTACTCCGAACCACTACTAGATGAAATCAACACTAACACAATGGGAATGCCAGGTAAACAGTGCTCATCCTACTGCAAAGAAATGCTGACACATTAAAAAGTCTACACCTGTTCAGTATACATGCAGTGATTTTCCAAATATTTTACCTTGTTTTTTCAATTGATTTTTGGGTTTGTGGATTTTTTTTTTCAAGACAGGGTCTTGCTATGCAGCCCTAGCCTGGTACTCACTGTGTAGCCCAAGTTGGCTTCAACCTCGCAATAATCCTCTTGCCTCAGCCTCTAGAGAGCTGGGATTATAGGTGTGTGCCACCATACCCAGCTCTTTGCAAACATTTTCAATCCTCACTTGGTTATATCTGCACCTGCAGAAACCTCACATGCAGAGCACTAGATGTACAAAATTGAACACTGATTTATCTATTTATTTTGTCTATCTGTCTATCATCTATCTATCTACCTAGCTACCATTTAGCTATTTACTTATTAAGACAGGGTCTCATATAACCCAGGCTGACCTGGAACTCACTAAGTAGCTGAGGATGACCTTGAACTCTTGACCCTCCTGCCTCTATCTCCCCAGTGCTGGAATTACAGGCATGTGGTGTTGGGGGACTCTGGTGCTAAGGTTGTAGTTCTCCATGTCCGGATAGCTCTAAGGGGCTTGGCGCTATATGGAAGGATGCCCTTTCTCAGCGGGGCTTCCTGCCTGACTTACCTGGAAAGTGCCACCAAGCACGGATACCTGACCTTATTTGGAACAAGACCTTTGACATAGTTACCTGCAATAAAAACTGCCCCCAGGTTTTTTCTATATGATAATTAGGCATTGCCCTATAGTCGGATGATAGGATCCCCCTACCACATGTAAATAAAGCATACTGTGAGCACCTATCAGCTAAGGCTTTGGCTGCTGCCTCCACACCATATTTTCCCTAACCCCCACTGAATAAATGGAGCTGTATCACTGAATCTGCCTCCCCGGAAGGGCTTTCTTCTGTCAGTGCTCACTGGCTGTCCTGACCCTGTTTGTCGCTTCTGCTCCCTTTGTCCTCGTGGACCGGTGGCCAACAACCCACGAGGGGAGGGAGAGACCCCACAATGTACTACCATAGTTTATGCAGTGCTGGGAATAGAACCCAGGGCTTTGTGCATGCTGGGCATGAAGATACTCTACCAACTGAGCTCCATCCCCTTCCTGTTGTTGTTATCATTGGTATTTAAAACAAGGGCTCCCTATGTGGCTGAAGCTGGCCTGGAACTAGCTGTGTAGCCAGGTTAGAACTTATGATCTTCCTGAACTTCAGTCTTCTTGGTGCTGGGATTATACAGGCATTCACTACCACAGCCAGCTTTTTTGAACCTCAACTTAAAAGAAGGACTAGCCAAACCTTCCTGGGGACTGGTCAGGAGGTATGAACAGAGTTTCTTGAGGCTATGGCTGCCCATTGATGCTTAATACCCCATCAGATGCCTCCAGCTCCAACTTATGATTTCCAGGTCCCCAGAACATCTGTCCCTGGGATCTACTCCCCATCAAACTGGACTCTTTCCCATCTCCTGAAGCCCACAGGGATGCTGCCACATCTCTGCCCTAAGCACAGTGCTGCCTTCATCTCTCTTGTGCATACCACAGAGGGAGGGCTAATCTATTTACTCCTTCATCCTTTCACTCTCTGGGAGCCTGTGTGCTGGACAATAGGTTTCCTACATGCACACCTGCCTACGATAGGCTCTGTGTTTGTAGGAAGGCCAGCCCTGGTGCAGGCTGGGAGCTGCTTCAGCTCAGGGTAGCTGTGGAACTTTCCTCTCCAGGCCCCTAACCTGTGTTTAGTCTGGCTCAGAGCTGCCCCCTTCCCTCCTGCAGTAGAAATTGACTCCTATTTCCCTCCCTGGGTGTAGACCACTGTGGCCCCGTGTGTGCCTACATCAGTGGTAAATGGACCAGGCAAGGAGACTGAGTGGGGCATGAGTAGACACTCTCGGCAGGATGGAGAATCTTCTCTCTAGGGTCCTGGCTTGAAGGCTGAGACACGGGTATGGTGGACTGGAGTCAGTGCCCCCTGCCCTCAAGAATGGCAGAGAGGATAGGCCTGGCCAGGTGCCCAGAGTAGGAAGGGGAGAGACTGGATTAAGGAGGAAAGCCTTGATTGCTCCATCACCTTGCCATCCTTGGCTGACCACCTTAAAACCAGAAAGTCCTGGATGTGTCTCCTCAAGCTCACCTGCTTTCCTCCTGCTTTAGCAGCTCCAGAAGGGCCTTAGCTCTCCTTCTGCCATTCCCAGTCCTCCCTCTGATCCCACAACCCTCTGTACCCATATTCAGCCTGAGACCCTCCCACTTGTGGAAAAGTAAGAGCAAAATCTTTCCTGTCCAACCAGTTCCATCTTGCTTCCTACACTCCTCCATCTGATGACCATTCAGCTGGGTCCAGACTGCTGACCTCCCTCTCCTGGAATCCTGGGTTCCCCTGAGCCTAGGGATGTAGTCTGTGCCTACAAAGTACCTTTCCTTTAGGCCTCTGCCTGGGCAAGCAGCCCAAAGGTTTCAATTGACACCTTAGTCATGAATTCAAGTTCTCGAGGAGAGGGAGGCTGGAAAACCAAGCAGCTGGGCCTCATGAGTAGCCAGAAGACAGGGTGGGTGATGGGCAGAAAAAAACAGGGTCTGAGTCAGGTTCGCTGAGCACTTCAGGCCACTACCACACCTCTTTCTGCCTGGTCCAACCATCTATCTGTCTTCCAGAATCCTCCTGCCTCTGACCAAGGAATGACTGATGTGGTTGGGGTGGTGACTATGGAACCAGGCTAGTCATTCTTAAGTTGTGAATGCCAGAGAGGAAGTGTTCTGGGGACCATGTGTAGGCAGAGGCTGAAGGATCAATCACCCCAGTTTGGGGAGCTTCCCTAATGGAATGTTACCTCCACTCATGAACCAGGATGCTTCACTTCCATCCACTGCACCTGGCAACTCTCCACATGATGCTTATGCCCAACTGGTCAGAGTCATGGTGGACTAGTGTGTACACCAAACAAGATGACAGAAGCTGGGCCTATGATCATAGAAGCCAAGCTACTTAGGAGGCTGAGGCAGCAAGATCACAAGTTCAAGGCCTGCTTGGGCTGCAAAGAGAGTTTGAGGTCAGTCTGGGAAACATGAGAGAGTATCTCAAAGAAAAAGTACAAAAGGTGCTGGGGCTATAGCCCAAGGGTCAATCCCTAACACCAAAAAAAAAGAAAGAAGGAAGTAAACGGAGGAAGGGAAGGAAGGGAGGGAGGCAGGG